TTGAACGGCGCGGCACCGCTCGCCCGCGCATGCGCACGCCCATTCACACGTGATAAAACGGGACGTAAACAAATGTAGGGAAACAGCCAGCCTGGATCAATGTGAATTGGCACCGCGTGTCCCTCCAGAGCCCAGATCGTCGCAGCCGCACCTGGAACCGCAGCAGGGTAGGTGGCAGGGGCGGGCAGGGCGCGGGCACGCGGCCGCCCTGCCGTGCCCGGCTTAGGTTGGCAGGGCTGCAGGGGCCTGGCCTCCCGCCTCCAGCTCCTCTCCTCCTCTCCTCTTCTTCTCCTCTTCTCCCCGTCTTTTCTTCTCCTCTCCCCCTCCTCTCTTCTCTTCTTCTCCTCGCCTCCTCTCCTGTTGCTCCTCTTTCCTCCTCCTGTTTATCCTGCCTTCAGCTCTCACCCTCACCTCTCTTGCCCCTCTTACTCATCTGCCGCTTCTTCTTCTTCTTCTTCTTCTTCTTCTTCTTCTTCTTCTTCTTCTTCTTCTTCTTCTCCTCCTCCTCCTCCTCCTCCTCCTCCTCCTCCTCCTCCTCCTCCTCCTCCTTCTTTCTCTCTTCCTCCTTATTTTTTCTCCTCTTCATATTTCTCCTCATCGTTTTCATCCCATACCACCTTTTCCTTCTCTACCTTTTCCTCCACCTCCTTTTCTCCTATCTCCTCCGCATTCTTCGTTTCTCTCCTAGCTCTTCTCTACATCATTATCCTCTCTTGTTTTGGTTTATGTCTTTCTCCTGACTTTATCGTGTTCCTCTTTGCTGTGATCCTCTGTCTTTTATTTCAAGTTTTATTTACGTCTTGATCCTCGTTCATTTTCGCTTACGTCGTTGACCTCGCCTATTTTCATTCACGTCATTTCAGTTTGCGTCGTGACCCTCCCTCATTTCCGATGGCACCGTCGTCCTCGCTTGTCTTCATTTAGAACGTCGGACTTGTTTTCATTTATGTCCTCGTCTTCTTGCATTTTCGTTCTTGCCATTCTTCACGTTCCGTTTTATTTCCGAGAGGAGCTGACCTTGGAGATGAAGGTTGGGTTCGGGTTCGGCAACTTCCGGCCTGCAGCAGGGGGAGTGAGGGGGAGGGGGAGGGGAGTGAGGGGGGAAGGGGAAGAAAGCTCGGAAGTTGAAGCAGTGACGAGGTTAATTCAGGGAGGGCATTTTCCTGCAAGCGAGCTTTTAGTTTATGCAATGTTTGATGGTCTCATGGTAGGTTTCAGAAATTTACCTTCCATGTTAGGCTTGGCTGAATCAATAAGTTAATTCATTCTGATCTTAACTTTAATGGGTAAATAGTTAGAAGCCATGCATAGTGACTTTTAAGAAGGGACTCTTTCTCGTGGCTAATGTTTCCGAGGCTGATTTATGGTGATAGAGGGAAATGGACAACCCTCTATTATAGATGGGAATAAATAGAAAGTAGGGAAGGTTAGGCTTGGATTTTTTGGTTTATGTTATACCCTAATGTTCAAGTATGTCGGAATAAACCGTTGGAATTATATAAAATAGCAGGTTTTCAGACTTTGTCTCTGAAAGATGCATCGGTGTTGTTAACAAATATCCTTTCTCGTAATTATATTGCTGTTGTTCTAACCATACCTCCTGAATTGTGCTGTATAAGTAAGACCAATAAGCCTCCACCGTACATATTTTGGCAAGGTTCAGTATGAGCCATTTCTGTATGTGATAATAAGTTGCCAGGGAAGTCTAAAAGCATTATCTTGATAGGATGTAGATGGTGGAGGGTCTTTGGCTGTTGACATTACATTAAAAGGTGCAGAGGCTGCATTAGTTAGTCAAACATTTGTGTATTTCTGTAACTTTACACTCACTTTGTATTTTTCCTTGTATAGTATATGGGTTCAAGAAGGTGGCATTCCTGGGAAAATTTTTATTTATCATAGAGTTCTGGGTAAATACACCTAAGAGATAACTTTCAAAGAAGTTTGTAGATGGGGAAGTAAGTCATGTTTCCATCTTTATAATTAATTCCAGTGTTCAAGATTATCTTTGCAGGAAAAGGGTTTTTCATTTTATATGCATATTCACCTGTTAGCTCAATAATGACAGGTAAATTTTGGTAAAGTTGGGTAGGGATATGTGCCCTGTTCCATGCTTAGGTGATTATTTGGCTTGTGGTTGTGTGTGGGAAACCTCTTCCAGGCAATCTGGATATGACATGTTGAAGCATTACCTTTTATATGCACAGTGTTGTTACACCACCCAATGCCAGGGGTTTTATTTTTCATCTGTATGATCCATAATTAACATCTGGTGATGAAACTTAGAATCAAATGATTTATAATTGTTTCATATTATGAAAAAAAAAAGAAGAATAGCAGAGACCCTATAACTATGTACTTATGCTACGTGCAAAATTTGTTATGGCCTATTTTCTTCATTTCTTTGCCTGTAGAGATTAGTGCTTGCATCAGCAAATGAAGTTGTGTTGGTGTTGTCATTATATAAATGTATAACAAAGTATTACGTGCTACAGAGCTTTCCTATTATCACCTTTCAAAAGAATTACCATAGATGAGAAGTGTCTTAAATTTCATCGTTTTGCATAAAAAATTTACCTTGTATCTAATGGCTGTGAGAAACCGAAACTGTTCCGAACTGATGCAAAAAGGGGACCAATTTTAACCCTTATTACTTCCCCATAACACTTACTACTTTTGTTTTGGTATTGGGGACAATGGCAGTTTCTAGAGAGCAGCATTAAATCTTACTATAGTAGTAATGTTTGCCTTTTTGGCCTAGCACTTTTATGGGTCAGCAGTTTAGCAGGGAATTAACAACCAATATTCAAATAATAGATAGATAGATAGATATGTATTATGTATATTATGTAACTATATATATATATATATACATTTTATATACATGTATATAAAATACATATATATATATATATATATATATATATATATATATATATATATATATATATATATATATATATACATATATATATATATATATATATATACATATATATATATATATACATATATATATATATACATATATATATATATATATATATATATATATATATATATATACATATATATATATATATACATATATATATATATATATATACATATATATATATATATATATATATATATATATATATATATATATATATATATATACATATATATACATTTTAGCAAATGCCTCTTTTTAGCAAGTGCCTTCTCAATGGATAAATTCCGAAAGCCTGGAAAAAGGCAACAATTATTTTGATTCATAAAAAGGGGGACAGGAAAGATCTAAAAAACTACCGACCCATAAGTCTCCTTCCAGTTACTTACAAACTGTTCACTAAAATCATCACAACTCGCATCTCTGACAGTCTGGATTCTAACCAGCCTAGAGAACAGGCAGGTTTCCGCAGTGGATTCTCAACAACAGACCACATACACATGCTTACCCAAATAAGAGAGAGAAAAAAAAAAAAAAAAAAATGAATATAGGAAACTCCTGTGTATGGCATTCATCGATTACAAAAAGGCATTTGACTCTGTTCAAATACCAGCAGTACTAGAAGCTATTCGAAGACAGGGAGTAGAGGAGATATATTGTAAATTATTAGAAAATATATACGAACATGGGACAGCAACCATCAAGCTCCACACAGAAACCGATAAAATCCCAATTAAGAAAGGTGTTGGACAGGGCGATACCATCTCGCCAAAATTGTTTACAGCTTGCCCTGAGGAAATATTCAAGAAGCTAGAATGGACCAGAAAGGGTATCAAAATTGGGGACGAATGCCTAAACAATCTAAGATTTGCAGATGATATTGTTCTCTTCAGTGAATCCGCAAATGAATTGCAGCAACTAATAAAGGATTTGAATAGAGAGAGCCTGAAAGTCGGTCTTAGGATGAACAAGAAAAAGACTAAGATCATGTTCAACAGTAGAGTTCAACTCGGGAGAGATACATGTTCAAGGCGAAGCACTAGAGGTGCTGGACAAGTATATATACCTAGGGCAACTCGTACAGACAAACACATCTAGCGAAGAGGAAATTAAGCAACGCATCAGTTTAGGCTGGAGCGCCTTCGGCAGACACAGTTGCATACTAAAAGGCTCCTTGCCATTATGTTTAAAAAGAAGTCTTTAACCAATGTATCCTCCCAGTTATGACCTATGGATCAGAAACATGGACTACAACCAAATTACTGGAAAGGAAACTAATAAGTGCCCAGAGAGGGATGTTGATGCTGGGAATTAGTCTAAGAGATCGGATGAGGGCGATGTGGATTAGGGAACAGACAAAAGTGGAAGATATACTCGGGAGCATCAAAAAGAAAAAATGGCAATGGGCAGGTCATATATGTCGGAGACAGGACAACAGATGGACAAAGAAAGTAACAGACTGGGTTATAGATAACATTAAGAGGCCAAGGGCCAGACCTGTGACAAGATGGCGCGATGAAATAGCAAAATTTGGAGGCTAAGACTGGGAACAAAAAATGCAAGACAGACATGGATGGAAAAGATTGGGAGAGGCCTACGTCCTGCAGTGGATTGACCCAGGCTGATGATGATGATGATGATGATGATATATATACCTATATATACCTATATATACCTATATATACCTATATATACCTATATATACCTATATATACCTATATATACCTATATATACCTATATATACCTATATATACCTATATATACCTATATATACCTATATATACCTATATATACATATATATACATATATATACATATATATACATATATATATACATACATACATATATATATATATATATATATATATATATATATATATATATATATATATATATATATATATATAATATATATATATATATATATATATATATATATATATATATATATATATATATATATATATATATATATTTATACATACATATACATATACATATACATATGTACATATATGTACATATATGTATATATATGTACATATGTATACATATGTATACATATGTATACATATGTACATATATGTACATATATGTACATATATGTACATATATGTACATATGTATACATATGTATACATATGTATACATATACATATATATACATATATGTATACATATATGTATACATATATGTATACATATATACATATATACATATATACATATATACATATATACATATATACATATATACATATATATATATAGAGATAGATAGATAGATAGATAGATAGATAGATATAGATATATATACATATACATATATATATAAATAGATATATATATATTTACATAATATTTATTTGATTTTCTGTGGGAGGATTGTAAGAAGGAAGGTAGAAGGGGAAGGAGGAAGGATGGGGACTTACCCCACTGCTGGTGGGGATGGCATGCGTGTATAGGCTGTGCCCACTGTGAGTTTAGTTAATTAATTGTCTTTACACATAGATGGCTCCACAAGTTACCAATGAGCCAGTTACAAAGAGTACCTGTCTCACCTGTTTACCCTTTTCCTTGATTTTTGGAAATATTTTCTGGTATCTTATATTGTTGTTAGTAATATCAAAAACACTATAGTAATTATAATGTCTATAGTAATGATAAGATCATTGATATTAATAGCATAAGTAGAAAACACTTTTTTTTTTCTTCTTCTTCTTTTCCTTCTTTTTTTCCATCCTCTGCAAACTCAGAAAATTGAAATTAGGTCACAAAGTCAACCAATTGACTCCTTTGTAGCTAAGCACTTTTGGAGCCACCTGTGTGCAGAGACATTTCACAAAACAATACTACCGTGAACACTACATTTCCCTGGTGACGGGGAAATTGGGAGAAAGGGAAGGGAGGGGAATGGGGCTGACAGAGGAAGGGGAGATAGAGAAGGGAAAATTGGAAGGAACATAAAGAGGATAGTAATGGGTGAAGGGAAAGGGAGGGGGAAGGGAGAGGGGCTTAGAAAAGGAGGATGGGGAAAGGAGAGAAGAGGATAAGACAGTGGAGGGGGGGGGAAGTGAATGAGGAAGAGGAGGGACATGGGAGGGGCAGATGAAGGGCTTAAAGTGGCTGGGGAGGAGGGAATTTAAGGAAGATTTGGGAATGAGAGGGGATGGCAGAATGGGAAAGGGAAAGGGAAAGGAAATGTATCCATGTCCAAACTAGTGGATAAATGTTTTAGTGTAGATATCTTAGACCAGATTTGACCATGTATGATGTAAAGGGCTAGTCTATTGTAACATGATGGAACATCACCCATTGTGATGGGGTAAAGACAGTATGAAATGACGAGGAGAAACATAATTTTTCAATTTATTTTTTACATATACGTATTATTATACTTTTGGGAGTGTTTTAGTTTATTTCTGATGTGGATTTATGACTGCTTATAGGATCAGATCTTATAGGTTCATTCCAGATACTATCTATTCAACACAGTATCCAGATACACAAGTTTATTAATTCATGGTTGAAGATATACTTAGTTGAATGTTTGAATGCCTCTTTTTGTATATTATTTGATGTCCACTCTCTCTTTTTTAGTGGAATGTCGGGAAGCAGTAGTGGCTCCAGTGCGGGCACCAACCTCGTTAAGAGGGTGTACCTGGACTACAATGCCACGACACCTCTGGCCCCGGAGGTCATCCAGGCCGTGGAGCAGTCCATGCAGGAGGCTTGGGGGAACCCAAGCTCTGCCCACGAGGAAGGTGCAAGGGCAAGGACGGTGATCAACCAGGCCAGAGAGGATGTGGCCAGAATGATAGGTGCGACGCCCCAGGATGTCCTCTTCATGTCTGGGGGAACAGAGGTAAGAACGACTCTTCTCTTTCAGCTTCATTCTGTTCAAACTTTCATTAAGTTAGGACAGCTCACTTTTTTCCATTCTATGTACAAGTTTATTAAATTGGCTCGAAGAATGATGCTCTAAATCAAAAATAGTCATATAATTTTTTTCCACAGTCAAACAACCTGGTCCTTCACTGTGCAGTCACACACTTCCGCAAGTGGTGTTTGTCACAAGAGAGCCCCATTTATCACCATCTCCGGCCACACATCATCACCACCAAAGTGGAGCATGATGCCATCAAGCTTCCCCTCACACACAGATATGCAATTGAAGCAGGTAAGCAGGCAGGAACCTGATCTATGGAAGCTAGAGAACTACAAAAATTTGACATTGAAGAAGTGTCTGTTATCATTATCATCATCATCATCATTTAACATCCATTTTCCAAGCTAACATGGGTTGGACAGAGTTTCATAACGGCTCTTGTGCAAGCATTATGGTCTTTTGATAGCTCACTTTCTATCCCCAATTCATGCAAGTGGTGGAATTACTTGTTGCCAGGTCTGGTTTGACCTCCCTTTACCACTGGTACTTGGTAACATTAAGTTTCTACATTTACCGGTCCAGTTTTCTGTATCCATTCTCTCCACTTTGCCAAACCACCTGAGATGCATTTGTTGCATAATACTGGAGATACTTTCAATGCCAAGCCCATCTCTCCGTTCCTCAGAAGATTTTCTTTTATGAAAGGTTATACCACTCATCCTTCTAACCATTTGCATTTCTGTTCTTGCAAGTCTACTTATGTCATCAGCTTTCAAAGGCCAAGTTTCACAGCCATAAAGCATGACACTTCTAACACAAGCTACATAGAGCTTCCCTTTCATCTTGTGTGAAAACACCCGTGATGTCAAAAGGGGTAAGAACTCCCTAAATTTTGCCCAGCCTGTTCTTTCATGCATTATTGAGCTCCACCACCTGCACTCAACATATCACCTAAGTAGCAGAATTAATTGACCACTTCATAGTTCTCATTCCCAAGGCTAACTTTCTTTTTCTACCTGTGGATTTAAGCCAAATTTCCTAAAAGCCAATTTTACATCCATTGGTACTTTGTTAAAAGCCTTTCCAGATCAAGAAAAGCAAAATAAATATTCTTCTTTCCCAGATATTTTTCTTGCAACTGTCATGCCAAAAAGATTGCATAAATAGTACCTCTTCCTTGCATAAAACTAAATTGCATTCTGTCTACCACTCTCCTGATTTCCTGCTCAATGACTCTCTCAAAGACATTCATCATGTGCTCCAATAGTTTCAAACCTATATAGTTACATCTTTCTGTGGCTTCTCCTTTATTTTTAAACATTTAACAATTACAGTCAAAAGGCATTTCTTTCTTTGAACAATTTGGTTAATATGGCTTGTTATTCTGTCAATACCTGCATCACCATAAGCAAGTAACATTTCAGTCATGACACCTGATGTGCCTAAAGCTTTCCCTTTCTTCATTTTGTACAAAGCCTTTCTGACAGACTCTCTGTCTATTTGTGGTTGTGGCCCAATGACAAGTTTGTTATATACTAAGCCATCTCTGTCCTCATTTAACAGTCTTTGATAATGTTCCTTCCAGACTTGATGTTTCTCATCATCAGTGACTGTAAAATGTATATTTAGATGCGTTTATAAGAATGTAGCTATAAGAAGAAAAAAAGCTGATGATGTACAATGAGTTTACCGTACCACATAATAACATGGTGTGGAGGGGAATGTAGGAAAGGAAAAGACTGGGAGTTTAGGTGGATGAAATATTCCATACAGTTCCAGAATTACTATTGGACATTCACCACTTTTCATTCACAAGAAGATGCAGGTGAAAACACAACTATGCGATTGGCTGAGGGAGAGGAGGAGCATCAAGGGGGGTGGGGGTATGGGGATGATATTATAGGTGCAGCTGAAGGGAACTTGCCAAACAGTATCAGATAAATTACTGGACACTACATACATCTCATTGATAATAAAAAAGTTGTGGCATTTTTTTACCACAGTTGGCCACAGCAATGTCAATTAGGACTTTAAGGGTTTAGCAACATTTGGGTTTAACAAGGGAACTTTTTCACTCTGTTTAACTTGAAACATTGACACATTTCAGATGTAACTTACTTAGGAGTTGAAAACTTACCTGAGGCTGTGCTTGAGTCCATCCGGCCGTCAACATGCCTTATCACTGTAATGTTGGCCAACAACGAGACAGGCATAATGTTCTCTGTTGCTCACATTGGCAGGTAAGTTTTTTATTCATATTAGAAAAAGGTTGACCATCACTGCACCACTGAACTACTTGGTACAGCACCCTATCAGTATTGGCTACTTAAGCTTTAAGATTGTTTATATATATCTGCCTATCATATCTGTACATTTATAGTATGTAAAGTGTTGGGTATGCACTATTTTTTACTGGCAGTACCAGTCATACAGAACTATTTCTGTAATGAGTTAACCAATTAATACTTTCATAAGGTATAACTTATGACATTTTGTAGTATTTTAAGTTATCATGCAGTGATGTTGGAGGGAAGCATCCTGATTAAGAATTCACTATATTTTTCATGAGAATTAGCAGGAAGAGAAACAAAACTGCAACCAGAGGGAGTCCTTATCTTAAACTTATATATAAAGCTTATTTTGATGTAACAGTAAATTTTCTTGCTGAAGACAGTCACACAGCAAATCAACAGTAGATACCATTTGATGTGCTATTATGTCTTGGATTTTTTCCCTAATTGCATATACCTAACTATAAAAAAAATATATGTATATGTATATATTTTTTTTACTGATGCCCTTTTGTATCATTCGCAATTCCTGGATATACAGTGTAAAATCATATAAACAATCTGAATGTTATCATTACCTCTTAAAGTCTTAAAATTTCCCTCCAGTTAATTTCATGCTTGAGTGGTTGTGTGTTTGGTGAATACCTATATTTGTGTGTATATTTTTATGTTTATTCATTTATTTATTCGCTCACTTATTTATTGATACGTTTTTTTTAGTGTCATGTCTGTTTAGACTTATAATTTACTTTGATTAAGAGCAGGACTATTGTAATCATTTTCCCTTGGAGCAAAGCAGACCAAGTGGCAATGGCTGCAACTCCTTGACTCCCTTGCAACAAGCTTTCTTCTCTCATCTGTTTCAGCTTGAACTGGTTGAAACTTAGGAAATATGTAAGTTGATCAGGTTAATGTACACCTGAGACATTGATGGTAGGATATCTTATAAGTTGAGGAGGTGGTAAGAAATACAGCATTCGGCTGGCTAAGAATCTGTGAATCGTCAGAAGCACAGGTCCTATCTTAACATAAGACGTTGTTCCTCCTCCGCCCTCTCATAACTCGTGACTTCATGTGCATCTCCCTGATAGGTTATTAGCAGAAGTAAACAAGAAACGTGAGAACGAAGGTTTGTTCAAGGTGCTCCTCCACACAGATGCAGCTCAGGCTATAGGGAAAGTTCCTGTCGACGTCACTGACCTCAACGTCGACTATCTCACAATTGTCGGACACAAGGTGAGGTCTCCAAACAGCGCAGGTTGGATGGGTTGTAGTGAGACATAGAGTTGGTTGTTTGCAAAACATGTTTATCAAGTTCCTTCCTCTAGTTGTTGAAGAGACTGCCATTGTACGTCTGGATGATTGAGTAGATATTGATAGGTTGATTACTAATATTGATTAAAGAACTAATGACAGATATTAAGAATTTTTATCTTTTTCTCCATCTAATTCTTCATTAATAAAAACTAAATTGTAGTATAAAGATATTTGAAACAGTATGATAGACAATATGGGAAGGTATTCATGGCACCTGTGAGTATGATGTCTGTAGATTTCTATTAGCCACCTCTGCTGAGACCAAGCTGTCAGTTCTCAAGTAAGGAGTTGGTGTTCATGGACGTCAACGTACAAATGATTTTTCCTTCTGAAATCATAGTAGAAATGGATATTTGATTTAGAAATCTCTCCACACACTCTTTATCAGTAACCGCAAATATAAGGAACATTCAGATCTCATTGTGAAGCTTTGTTCATTGGACCATGATGTCCATTCCAGTATTATGGCCCTCGGATTGGTGCCTTGTATGTACGTGGTTTGGGCCATAAGACTCCCGTGTACCCGATGTTCTACGGGGGAGGGCAGGAGCGTGGTTATCGCCCGGGCACGGAGAACACGCCCATGATAGCAGGCCTGGGAAGGGCGTCTCTCCTGGTCCACAATAATGTTCAGGACTATTACACTTCCATGAAGAAGACCAGGAACTACATGGAAAGGCAGCTGAAGGTGAGATTTAGCATTTTGGGTCACTAGAAGAATTCAAAAGTGGGAAATCACACTTTGCTGTAATTTCGTTTGAGTTATGTTTTATCAGGTCTTTGAAATTGGATTTGTGTTTGTTAAGTTTATTAAGTTGCAATCTGTATTTTTTATTTGTTGATATGAATGTCTCAAATCATGTTTTATTTTTCCAATAGAAAGTGTTTGGCAACCAAGTGAAGATCAATTGCGTTGACCCCTGCATATCTTCAGACCCTGAAACTTGCTCTGTTCCCCCCCGTGGCCCCAAGCAGCAGCATTTCATATTCCCACGCCTTCCGAACACATCATCCGTCTCATTTTATTACAGACAGGTGTGGTATAGTCATTCATTTTGTTACTGTGAGTCTTAAAAATTGCTTTATTTCAATTTTAAGATCATATGTATATATATGTATATATATGTATATATATATGTATATATATATGTATATATATATGTATATATATATATATATATATATATATATATATATGCATATATATGCATATATATATATGCATATATATATATGCATATATATATATGCATATATATATATGCATATATATATATATGCATATATATATATATGCATATATATATATATGCATATATATATATGCATATATATATATGCATATATATATATATATATATATATATGCATATATATATATATGCATATATATATATATATGCATATATATATATATATGCATATATATATATATATGCATATATATATATATATGCATATATATATATATATGCATATATATATATATATGCATATATATATATATATATGCATATATATATATATATGCATATATATATATATATGCATATATATATATATATATGCATATATATATATATATGCATATATATATATATATATGCATATATATATATATATGCATATATATATATATATGCATATATATATATATATGCATATATATATATATATATATATATGCATATA